TGGGGAGGCTGGTAGGCTGGATAGGCTTGGTAGGCTGGGTAGGCTGGATAGGCTGGGCAGGCTGGGTAGGCTGGGTAGGCTGGGTCATCAAACGTCGACCTAAATTTTAAACTAGGTCGTACAATAGCCTTTAAATATGCATTTATTATCGTACTTTCATGCATAGGCGATTTATAGGCGGCACACCGATGAACTAATTATAATTTACGTACGGAATTCGGCCACCGATACAACCGCCATGGCCGCCGATACGACGGCTATGGCCGCCGATAAGTCGGCCATGAGCATTTCAGTAGCCGGCGCCCCGACGGAGGCTGTAAACAAGCCTGCTTTGTCATAGTGACTTGCAGGTCCCTGAGTAAACACAGAGTATACAGATACGGCTACACACGCGTATACATGCCGTGTATACGGCTATACATGGCATGTATACATGGCGTGTGTACGGATATACAGGCGTATACATGACATGTATAAATGGCGTGTGCATGGCGTATACGTGCGTATACACGGCGTATAAACGACGTACACACAAGGCGTATAGAGATACGGCGGTTACCAGGCATGTATATGATAAATACATGCCGTATACATTGTATTAACTGATACGGCATTTGCATGAAGTATACGCGGCGTATATCAATTGGCAGTAAATTGCGTATACAGATAAAACGCATGAATGCAAAAATGACCTCTACAGTAACCTAAATTAATTGGTTAACTTCCTTATTCATGTTTCCATCACATTCAATTTCTCCGCGAACGCTTTATTACAACAAATTAACATACAAATGAACAAACGTAAACTATACATAATTGAATGGTTATACAATCGTGTATAACACATCAACATTTCAACAGAAATATTCAGAGATGAGATAGTAAATATACAAGATAAGTAAATCAACTGTGTGGGCGCTGTCGCAGGCCGTGTACACACGGGCGTCGTGTGCGTGTCACACGCCGTGTACACACGGGCGTCGTGTGCGTGTCACACGCCGTGTACACACGGGCGTCGTGTGCGTGTCACACGCCGTGTACACACGGGCGTCGTGTGCGTGTCACACGCCGTGTACACACGGGCGTCGTGTGCGTGTCACACGCCGTGTACACACGGGCGTCGTGTGCGTGTCACACGCCGTGTACACACGGGCGTCGTGTGCGTGTCACACGCCGTGTACACACGGGCGTCGTGTGCGTGTCACACGCCGTGTACACACGGGCGTCGTGTGCGTGTCACACGCCGTGTACACACGGGCGTCGTGTGCGTGTCACACGCCGTGTACACACGGGCGTCGTGTGCGTGTCACACGCCGTGTACACACGGGCGTCGTGTGCGTGTCACACGCCGTGTACACACGGGCGTCGTGTGCGTGTCACACGCCGTGTACACACGGGCGTCGTGTGCGTGTCACACGCCGTGTACACACGGGCGTCGTGTGCGTGTCACACGCCGTGTACACACGGGCGTCGTGTGCGTGTCACACGCCGTGTACACACGGGCGTCGTGTGCGTGTCACACGCCGTGTACACACGGGCGTCGTGTGCGTGTCACACGCCGTGTACACACGGGCGTCGTGTGCGTGTCACACGCCGTGTACACACGGGCGTCGTGTGCGTGTCACACGCCGTGTACACACGGGCGTCGTGTGCGTGTCACACGCCGTGTACACACGGGCGTCGTGTGCGTGTCACACGCCGTGTACACACGGGCGTCGTGTGCGTGTCACACGCCGTGTACACACGGGCGTCGTGTGCGTGTCACACGCCGTGTACACACGGGCGTCGTGTGCGTGTCACACGCCGTGTACACACGGGCGTCGTGTGCGTGTCACACGCCGTGTACACACGGGCGTCGTGTGCGTGTCACACGCCGTGTACACACGGGCGTCGTGTGCGTGTCACACGCCGTGTACACACGGGCGTCGTGTGCGTGTCACACGCCGTGTACACACGGGCGTCGTGTGCGTGTCACACGCCGTGTACACACGGGCGTCGTGTGCGTGTCACACGCCGTGTACACACGGGCGTCGTGTGCGTGTCACACGCCGTGTACACACGGGCGTCGTGTGCGTGTCACACGCCGTGTACACACGGGCGTCGTGTGCGTGTCACACGCCGTGTACACACGGGCGTCGTGTGCGTGTCACACGCCGTGTACACACGGGCGTCGTGTGCGTGTCACACGCCGTGTACACACGGGCGTCGTGTGCGTGTCACACGCCGTGTANGCTCTTGACTCTTGCATGCCTCGCCACAAAGAGCAAGAGTATGAATAAGAGTTCATTAAAGAGCAAGAGTATGAATAAGAGTTCATTAAAACATTAGGTTTTTCAAGCGTTAAGAGCGACGCATGTCGCTGAAAGGGATCCCCTTAAAGGGGGGGTTGGGGCTGGTCCCCCTTGGCCCGCTTTCTAAAGGCCCGGGCCCGAGTATTGTGTTCAAGAGGGCCAAGAGCCCTCGCCGGTCCCCTCTTGAAACAAAACTCAGTTCTGAGGTAAGAGTGTCGCGAGGGTAAGAGCTCTGCATGAGCTGTGCAATAGTGCAATGGTTCTGCAATAGCTGTGCAATCTTGTGAGGGCTGTGCAAGAGCTGTACAAGAGCTGTGCAATCTTGTGAGAGCTGTGCAATCTTGTGAGAGCTGTGCAATAGCTGTGCTAGAGCTGTGCAATAGCTGTGCAATCTTGTGAGAGCTGTGCAAGAGCTGTGCAATCTTGTGAGAGCTGTGCAATCTTGTGAGAGCTGTGCAATAGCTGTGCAATCTTGTGAGAGCTGTACAAGAGCTGTGCAATCTTGTGAGAACTGTGCAATAGCTGTGCAATCTTGTGAGAGCTGTACAAGAGCTGTGCAATCTTGTGAGAGCCGTGCAATAGCTGTGCAATCTTGTGAGAGCTGTGCAAGAGCTGTGCAATCTTGTGAGAGCTGTGCAAGAGCTGTGCAATCATGTGAGAGCTGTGCAATCATGTGAGAGCTGTGCAAGAGCTGTGCAATCTTGTATAACAGTGTAAGAGCTGTGCACGAGCTGTGCAATCTTGTATGCAAGTATAAGAGCTGTACAAGAGCTGTACAATCTTGTATACAAGTATAAGAGCTGTGCAAGAGCTGTACAATCTTGTATACAAGTATAAGAGCTGTGCAGGAGCTGTGTAATCTTGTGAGAGCTGTGCAAGGGCTGTGCAATGGTGTAAGAGCTATGATATAGTATAAGAGCTTTGCAATAGTTGTGCAATCTTGTGAGAGCTGTGCAAGAGCTGTACAATCTTGTGTAATAGTATAAGAGTTGTGCAAGAGCTGTACAATCTTGTATAATAGTATAAGAGTATAGTATAAGAGTTGTGCAAGAGCTGTACAATCTTGTATAATAGTATAAGAGTATAGTATAAGAGCTGTGCAAGAGCTGTACAATCTTGTGAGAGCTGTATAAGAGCTGTACAATCTTGTGAGAGCTGTGCAATGGTGCAATAGCTGTGCAATGGCTCTATTCATGGCCGTTTTATCATGCCATATTGGCCGCCCATTATTGTATGCGCTGTGTACGTGTGGCATGAAGCTGTGTACTGCATTGTATGCGCTGTGTACGTGTGGCATGAAGCTGTGTACTGCATTTGTATGCGCTGTGTACGCGTGGCATGAAGCTGTGTACTGCATTTGTATGCGCTGTGTACGTGTGGCACGAAGCTGTGTACTGCATTTGTATGCGCTGTGTACGTGTGGCATGAAGCTGTGTACTGCATTTGTATGCGCTGTGTACGTGTGGCATGAAGCTGTGTACTGCATTGTATGCGCTGTGTACGTGTGGCATGAAGATGTAAGCTGCATCCCTCACATTACCCCCACATTTGAGTTTACCTCATATTACCTTCACATTTGAGTTTACCCTCACATTACCCTCACATCTGAGTTTACCTTCACATTACCCTCACATCTGAGTTTACCCTCACATTACCCTCACATCTGAGTTTACCCTCACATTATCTTCATATCTGAGTTTACCCTCAAATTACTTTCTCATCTGAGTTTACCCTCACATTACCCCCACATTTGAGTTTACATCATATTACCCTCACATCTGAGTTTACCCTCATATTACCCTCACATATGAGTTTACCCTCACATTACCCTTACATCTGAATTTACCCCTCACATTACCCTCACATCTGAGTTTACCCCTCACATTACCCTCACATCTGAGTTTACCCTCACATTACCCTCACATGCGAGTTTACCCTCACATTATCCTCACATCTGAGTTTACCCTCTTATTACCCTCGCATCTGAGTGATGGCGGGAGTCAACACGCTTCCCTCGCTGGACGCGGCGCTCTTAGAAATATTGGGCCCACTAAGCGGGAACGTCGCCCCGGGCCCCAGTGAGGGGAAACGAGGGGTAGGGGGAGGGGCGGGGAAGAGGGGTCGCAAATACTTGGAGATGCTACGGACTCCAAGCTGTGGCAGTCTGAAACAGACTTTAATGTGGTATTAGATGAAGTTAAGAACTTATGCAATGGAGACTGCAGTATAATGGCCAAGTCCGCATCAGAACAGTAAAATGGACACTATAACTATTATGTCTTATAAATTATTATGTCGTTAATTCAAAGCGAAAGTTTATACCTCAACAGTGCACCGAAGTTATAGGTCCTTTGCATCACCATCAACTGTAGCCTGACGCAGTAGTTGTAGCTGTAGCCAAGTAGCGAACGCACCACAAACTGCTCTCTGAACTTGTTAGTATAACCACTCGATTATTTATTTGTACATTGAAGATTATTATAAGGAAGCATAACTGTTCAACTGGTAGACGTCTGCTTCTTGATAACCAATTAAATGATTTAGCCAAACAACGAGAAACTGATGGTTGCTTTTTACTGTCAAGCAGCCATTAGCCCTGTACACGAAGCCACTAGCCCGAGAATTAGTGGCTGTTACTACAGACCAATTAGAGTGGCGGCCACTATAAGCCCTGTGTAAATATACGTTATGCGTCAGCCGTTAATGAGAGTGTGGAGGGGCATTCAGATTAGCTCTCATTTGCAACATGTACATTAACATTAACCAAATAATTATACACAGGAAAATAACTTGAAAATTAAAAACTGACAAAACGTCGTTCGTAGTAGAGAATTTCTGCAACAATTAATTTTTTAAGTTCAATATTAAGGATTGACTAACGCGTCACGCTAATTAGTCTCGTTGAAAAAGATGTGAATTCCGGAAAATTGTATAGCTCCAGTTTCATCCGAAACGTTTCGTCTCGTCTCGGAATTGCAATGGAATTCCCAGAATGAGGAGAAAGTTGGTCCGGGTTTTTTCACTAACCGAGACAGAGCTTCGTCTTGTCTCGTCATGTCTCGTTATGTCTAGTCTCGTCTAGTCTCGTCTAGTCTCTTCTAGTCTCGTCTAGTCTCGTCTCGTCTCGTCTCGAATACAAAAATACCGAAAACTGGAGTATAAAAGGCTGGCACTGTATAGGCTGGCACTGTATAGGCTGGCACTGTATAGGCTGGCACTGTATAGGCTGGCACTGTATTGGCTGGCACTGTATAGGCTGGCACTGTATAGGCTGGCACTGTATAGGCTGGCACTGTATAGGCTGGCACTGTATAGGCTGGCACTGTATAGGCTGGCACTGTATAGGCTGGCACTGTATAGGCTGGCACTGTATAGGCTGGCACTGTATAGGCTGGCACTGTATAGGCTGGCACTGTATAGGCTGGCACTGTATAGGCTGGCACTGTATAGGCTGGCACTGTATAGGCTGGCACTGTATAGGCTGGCACTGTATAGGCTGGCACTGTATAGGCTGGCACTGTATAGGCTGGCACTGTATAGNCTTCACTGCTTCATTGAAACGCAGCACGCTTCACTGCTTCATTGAAACGCAGCACGCTTCACTGCTTCATTGAAACGCAGCATGCTTCACTGCTTCATTGAAACGCAGCACGCTTCACTGCTTCATTGAAACGCAGCACGCTTCACTGCTGCATTGAAACGCAGCACGCTTCTTCACTTCACTGAAGTGCAGCACGCTTCACTGCTTCATTGAAACGCAGCACGCTTCACTGCTTCATTGAAACGCAGCACGCTTCACTACTTCATTGAAACGCAGCACTCTTCACTACTTCATTGAAACGCAGGACGCTTCACAACTTCATTGAAACGCAGCACGCTTCACTGCTTCATTGAAACTCAGCACGCTTCATTGAAACGCAGCACGCTTCACTGCTTCATTGAAACGCAGCACGCTTCACTGCTGCATTGAAACGCAGCACCCTTCTTCACTTCACTGAAGTGCAGCACGCTTCACTACTTCATTGAAATGCAGGACGCTTCACAACNTCACTGAACACAGTAGCTGTTCTCACTGAACACAGTAGCTGTTCTCACTGAACACAGTAGCTGTTCTCACTGAACACAGTAGCTGTTCTCACTGAACACAGTAGCTGTTCTCACTGAACACAGTAGCTGTTCTCACTGAACACAGTAGCTGTTCTCACTGAACACAGTAGCTGTTCTCACTGAACACAGTAGCTGTTCTCACTGAACACAGTAGCTGTTCTCACTGAACACAGTAGCTGTTCTCACTGAACACAGTAGCTGTTCTCACTGAACACAGTAGCTGTTCTCACTGAACACAGTAGCTGTTCTCACTGAACACAGTAGCTGTTCTCACTGAACACAGTAGCTGTTCTCACTGAACACAGTAGCTGTTCTCACTGAACACAGTAGCTGTTCTCACTGAACACAGTAGCTGTTCTCACTGAACACAGTAGCTGTTCTCACTGAACACAGTAGCTGTTCTCACTGAACACAGTAGCTGTTCTCACTGAACACAGTAGCTGTTCTCACTGAACACAGTAGCTGTTCTCACTGAACACAGTAGCTGTTCTCACTGAACACAGTAGCTGTTCTCACTGAACACAGTAGCTGTTCTCACTGAACACAGTAGCTGTTCTCACTGAACACAGTAGCTGTTCTCACTGAACACAGTAGCTGTTCTCACTGAACACAGTAGCTGTTCTCACTGAACACAGTAGCTGTTCTCACTGAACACAGTAGCTGTTCTCACTGAACACAGTAGCTGTTCTCACTGAACACAGTAGCTGTTCTCACTGAACACAGTAGCTGTTCTCACTGAACACAGTAGCTGTTCTCACTGAACACAGTAGCTGTTCTCACTGAACACAGTAGCTGTTCTCACTGAACACAGTAGCTGTTCTCACTGAACACAGTAGCTGTTCTCACTGAACACAGTAGCTGTTCTCACTGAACACAGTAGC